TTCGATTACAATCTATGTCAAAGTATTTAGCACCATTGAACAAAACATATTCGATCGCCGAGTGATCGAAGCATATTTTGTAGATAAGCGAAGTACATGAATGGAAGAAAGCGATTGAAATATTCCTTAACAAATCGATCATGAAACGAGTGAATTGTTATCAGTCAATCTTCTTGTATTGTTACTCATTCAATATGTCAACTGTTACAATACTTTTCCTCGCTATCGATCGTTTTATTGCCGTACAATCACCTTTAAAGTAAGTTCTCTTAAATACAATAGCATTTATTATAAAACTATCTATTATTGATGATCGTTCACTATTTACTCCATTATATTTTCTCTAATCTCTTTGTATATTAAATGATATCTTCAGAATTACTCGTACTATTTTAGATATCGAACAGCACGAACTATACCTTACATCGCTTTAGCCATCGTCACTGGCTTTGCCTATTCAACTGCCTTTGTTATTGCCGTTGCTGATAACGATTTATGTATGGAATAATAAACGTACCCTTAGTCGCTTTACCCACTACATCACGACCGAAACTTAGACCTTCTCTGGGACAAGAAATGTTTCACGCCATCTGTTTCAATGTCCGAACCATTTGATCCATAACTTGAATTCGAACCATATACGAATATTGTCTGTGCAAAGCATGTTTTCTTTGACAATCGTTCGGGCCATTCATTCGTTCATTCTTTTGCAGATCTCATTAATCCTTACTTCATTTCAGTTTCACATACTGTTTTTTTCTTCTAGTGATGTTAGTGAACTGAATTTTTGATATCTTCATTGCGTAATAAGGTATAAAATAAGGGGTAAAAACTTACTGTCCTTTCACAGATAGTAGAAATCCTTTCACCACCTTTAATCTTCAGCTTATAGGTTCAACTAATAATAGGATTTCAGGCAGTGAAGTTTTTGTTTTAGCACAAACATCCCAAATGGTTGTGACTACTTCCGTAATTATGATGCATTATATAAATTTGATGAAGTAATCAAAACAGTTATTCTTCATTTCGATTTATGATGAAAATCCATGAAGTTTTAAAGTTTTGGAGATTTGATGCAACATAAGCCAGAAATTGCAACAACACAAGCCAACTATCCTGCCATCTATCACCAGTAGTTAACCAGTCGATCTGTGCTTGCAGGTTACAACTGATGGTATGGATAAAGCAATAGACATCGGTTCTGTATCGAATGGTAAGAAAATGAGGAAAAGGAAAACGCGTGAATTCGATTTTTCACGACATCCAAAACGACGGATTGCTCTGATGTTCATGTACTTTGGTTGGGAATATAATGGACTGGTTGAGCAACAAGAAATTGCTGGAACTGTAAGTTGTATTATCTTTTTGGAATCATCAACGAAAGAATGATGAATGTTGAGGAATGATGAAAGCTGCTAAGCGATCTTTGCCTGATGACCTACAAGGTGAGATATGGGTAGATAATAGTAGACCCGAGGAATCTTCGGTGCTTTCATTCACTTTTTTCAACTTTCATTTTCTCATGTCTGTTCCCCGACGCCATGCTGATTTCATATTAACTTCAATTGTCATGTATATCCCTAGTATTAAAATAAACGAATCGAAACTTCCAAATGCCATTGTCGTACTTATTCCTATTTTCAGAAACTTTCATTTGATAGTAATTTTTAAAGAAATACTTATCCGTCATAGTTTACAGATTGAGGAAGAGATGAGGAAAGCTTTGATGAAGACAAAGCTTGTCGAAAGTTGGGAAAATTGTGGTTGGAATCGATGTGGTCGGACCGATAAGGGAGTATCTGCTTTCAAGCAGGTTGCCTCTCTTATTGTAAGGTTTGTTTCGGATGCGTTAAATCTTTAATAACAAAACTTTCAACTATCCATGTATATAGTGCTTTAGGTCATCAGTTATTCCATCCTTTATTTCAGTAACAAAATAACTCATTAGTTTTTCCGGTTTTGCGTTATTTCTGGAAAAAGAAGATGAAATGATTTGTTACACCTTAACCTATTTATGTATTCTCTAGGTTTAAGGTCAAATGAACCGGAAGGAGAAGGTGTTTTCTGGCCTGCTATCGCTCATACGTCTTCTGAAACTGCTGTTAAAGGAGAGCTTCAGTACGTAAAAATGTTAAATAGTACATTGCCAACTAATATCCGGGTGTTAGCCTGGGCTCCAGTTCCTGAAAATTTCAGTGCCAGATATAGATGCACTCAACGTACTTACACGTACGCTTTTCCAAGAGCCAATTTCGATATTGAGGTTAATTTTTGAAAGATTTTCAAGCAGTATAATTTTCCATTCGAGTGATTCATGTGAATTAGGTTGAGTTCTCAAGTTAAAATCTTGAATGTTGTCTGTTCTTGTTGTAGTCACTTCTGTTTTTTGAAAACAATTACAAGATTTCCAAATATATTTTTCAACGTCCTCAGTGAAATTTTTTTGTAGGCAATGCGACAAGCTTGTCAATTCCTCGTTGGCGAACATGATTTTCGTAATTTCTGTCGTATCGACATGAACAAGGGACGAGTGGAAATGAATTATATTCGCACTATCAGCTATGCTGATATATCACTCATATCGTATGATTGCAATGATTTTTGGAATAATAAGGAGCTATTTAAAAGCTAGTGACTTGAAAGCTAGATACTATTTTTTAATCTTTCTGGTACATACCACATAGTACGTATTCAAATTCACCTTATCCTTCTTGCGTTTTCAATTTTTGGCATCAAGAGCATGATCGCGTACTACTTCAATTAGCTTTACGACTGCTCACTTTTAATCCGGTTAATTACAACGATAAGTTTAAAATTTTTTTATTCTAGAAATAATTCATTGTTAGCATCAAAACAAAGCGATGAAGTTACTCATTATGAGTTTCTACAACTTACTGTCAAGGGAAGCGGTTTTCTTTGGCATCAGATTCGTTGTATAATGGCTCTGCTTTGTGAAATTGGCCTTGGTAATGAGAAACCGGAAGTGAGTTCTGTTATAACCATTACTTTGCAAATAGTGAAGAAAGAAATGATGACTTTTAATTAGTATTCGTGTATGAAACTCTTATTTTGTGCTGCTGGATGTCAAGTCCCCTATGAGTGATAAGTTTAACAATAATACAGAAATTTTGTGCATGTCTTTTCCTAGCTTTGCTTAAAGGTTATATCTGAACTTCTCGATATTAAACTCACGCCTTCAAAACCAATTTATGGATTAGCTCCGGCATTTCCTTTATGTTTGTTTGATTGTGTATATGATGGGATGGAATTTTCTTGGAAATGGGATATTAATTCGCTGAAGTCTGTTAGAAAACTTATCCTGAAAACTTGGGCTCATTATCAGTCTTTGTAGGTTTTCATTACATTTATTTGCTTTTTCATATTTTTCAGTTTTTCCTCCTTAAAATTTCATTGCCTCAAACAAATTAGTACTGAAGAAAACGAAAAATCATGTGGAAAACTTGCAATAAAAAATATCAACGGGACTGTATCGCACACCGCATGGTATATTTTATAATTGTGGTGTTACAGCCGGGAAGGAAGTACAAGAATGGTTGAAATAATTACTTCAGGATAAAAACTGGCCCTCATTTATGAAGTTCCAAGAAATTTACAAAAGTCGTAAAAGATGCTGTTCCATTAAAATTATCAAGTTGATTGGAGATTAAAGTAGTTGCAGATCAGCGACATTACAAATCATGGCTGAAAGTATTGGTGCGCTTGCACCAGTATTGCAGGGTGACTATAGCGGTCTAAATGAATATCTCAGGCCAAGTGGGACTTCTACTAAAACATATGTACCCATCAAAAAGCGGCCTACATGTGATGCTTTAGAACTAAAGCAAGAGAAAATTCGTGCAAAAATGTCGAAAATCGTTGCTGATTCCTCCAGTAAAACTGATATTATGTCATAATGCTAATAATTCTTAGTTATTCGTGGTAAGTATCCTTATCTTTCGTACACTGATGCATTACTTAACTATAAAACTTTAATTAACGACACTGAACCTTAATATTGTTATTCTTGCGCGTATTATACTTTATGTGATAGCAGTATCAGTTTGCAGGCAACACTGTTTTGAGTTTTCAGTATGTTTTAATGAATTTTCGATTATATACAATTTTATGTCTTAGTACTGAAATCTGCAATTTATCTATCAAATTTTTTAGATTTTTCATCTAAATTTTTTGTTCCGAATTCGCTTCAGTATCAGATAGATCAGCCTGCGATTAAAAATAATCTTCGATTTTAGGGAGAAACGAACTGTATTTGTAATTGATGATGATTACAGGGGGATCTCTTCTGTATTACATTGTTGTTTTATGAAAGTTCCTTTGTGTTTACAAATTTTCCACGTTGATAAAATGTATTACAATTTCAAATTACTTAGTAAAGCACGTTTCAAACGTTTTCATTTCATTTAGTCTAGTTTCGAAATTAAAGGTTCTACGTTTAATTCTGCTTTCCGAAATATGTCAGTTGTTTACGATGCACTTGATTTGTTTCATTCATTAGTTACAGTTGAGCCGGTGTATATATGTCCGGAAGTATGGATAAACCTGAGGTATGTGGAAATTTATTTTTGTTTTAAAGTAAACATGTTGCTAATAACATACTTCGCCTTTCTATGTTTAAATACTAAGACAAAGCTCGATTTTTCATGATTTTTATGTCCTCAATTTCGTTTTCTTTAAGCAGTAAAATGATCTTGAATTTCAGCGATATCGGGATGACCCGGAGTGGGATGATGTTCACCCTCTACCACTCACGGATGATGAACAAGCAGCTGTTCGGATTGAAACGAGTGATGCTTTTAACGATGCATTCATGTATCTGCGAGCTGTTGTACTCAGCAATGAGATGTCAGAGCGCGCCTTTAGACTAACCGTGAAGTGAGTTTACTTTGCAGTTGCATGCAGTAATTTGTGTATAATTATTTAATAATTGGTATCGTAAACTGTCATTTAGTGGAGAATGGTGTAGTGTGAGGTAATAAATGCCATCTTTTCTTCATTGTATATCATTACATTACAATAAATATCTTAAGACGCTGAAAAATTCCTTTTTTCTTTGTTCGTTTAGCATCGGTAGAAATATATTATATTATTCATAAATTCCCGCTCAAAAGAAGTGAGCTTATTCGGATAATAAATTCACATTTGAAAGATATTTTGTTGCCAGTTAGTCAAAATTTATTTCAAATAACTTTGCAGGTGTATTGATTTAAATCCTGCTAACTATACTCTTTGGCAGTATCGCCGTTCTCTTCTTAGAGCACTGAATAAAGATCTCAATGAGGAATTCAGTTTCATAGCTGAGGTGATTGAAGAAAATCCAAAAAATTATCAAGGTTAATAATGCTCTTGAACACTTGTATTTCTTGGTTCATAACATGATATCTTGTCGGGGTCGCGAGAGCATCTAAGGAAGAATACAGGTCCAAGCTATATATATGTATATATATATATATATATATATATATATATATATATATATATATATATATATATATATATATATATATATATATATATATATATATATATATATATATATATATATATATATATATATATATATATATAT